TTAAACTCCAGAACAGTAAGATAATAAACTTGTGTTGTTTTAAGTCACTAAGTGAGTGCTGTTTTTCTACAGCAGCAATGGGAAATGAATATACAATGTCAAAAGAGGGATGATAAAGAGGCAGGGCAGAGCTGGAAGGAATCACAGGTTGTGGTTAAAGACTGATACACGTGTACGTGTGTGTGTGTGTGTGTGTGTGTGTGTGTGTGTGTGTTTATACCTTTGTACAAGAAAGTCCACTCATACAAAATAAGCCCAAGGTCCTGTCCACACTTGTAATTTATGGGGCAGGGTTGTTAGAACTGAAGAAGTCAAAGAATGTTGAGCCTTATTTACAAGTTTATCAAAATATTCAGAGGAGTAACAGGAACATAAGGTGAATTAAGTAGAAGCAATCAAATGCCAAAGTCCTTAAGGAACTGGGTTGGGGGTGAGTAATTCAAGGATACCACTGAAAGTAGATAGAAGATAGTATAATTATGCAGGGTAAAACTCAAATGACAAAGGAGTTTTGCATGAGAATCAAAAATAATTTGAAAACGGCTCTGTGGAACTATAGGGATGTCCACATCATCTCTGACTCCTATGACAAGGGGTTGAGGAAATCTAACTTCACAGGCAACGGTGACACAAGAAAAAGCCAAAGAGCTGGAGGAAAATCAACAAACCGTGACATAATAGAAGCAAACAAAAAATATACAGGAGACAGTCTAAGTGCTGCTAAGAGATCAAATAGAATTTTTAAATGTCTACTGAATGCAGAGAGAGGCAGGAACAGGAGCCAAACTTCAATAGGCTGAGAACTAAGTGAATGGTGAAATCAAGACAGAATGCAAAGGCCACTTTTGTGTGTGAAGGGAGCTGGCAGGGGTGGCTCCAAGAAGGGCATCAGTAAGATGACAGTGCAGTGCCTTGATGTGTCAATCCCAATGGGACAGACCCAGTTGAGAGGGAGAGATGGAAGATACAGAAGAGAATGCGTGGTATTGATGACGTAAGGTTCCTGAAAAGGCAGAGGAGATAGGGGCCAAAGTACGAGTGATTATTAGTCTTAAGACTAAAACTCTGTGATGACCGGAAAGAAGGAGAAGGAAACAGATCCAGATACAGGTAGGTTTGTATGATTATTGCAGCTGTGAAGATCAAAGAGTGGTTATCCATATAACCATATAAGTCACCCAAGTTGGTTGGAGCACCAACGTGGACAGGAGATACTGAGCCAGGTGGCATAGTCTTTGATGACGACCTGGTTCAAAGATGAAAAGGTAACAGCAACAATGAACTCTTCAATTCCAGAGAGATAACAGTTTAACCAATCATAACTGTAATCATAAGTGATTATAGTTGTTAAAAGCAACTGGGCATATCTGAGCCTACCTTGCTTACTAGCTATGTGGCCCTGTGAATCCATTACTTAACTTCTCTGAGTCAGTTTCTTCATCCGGAACGTAAGAATAATACAAGTTCCCAAATCGCAGGGACTTATGTCCCTATTTCAAGATTATGAAGATTATATCACAATAAACATAGGGTGCTTAACAAATGCCTGGTACAAAGGAAACACTTAACATTGTTAAGTATTATCTATTTAGAAAAAACATTAATGTTTCCATAAGACACATATAATAGAAGGCTCAGAGTTCAATCTACAGTGCACAATTCTTACAAGATTATGTAATTTTTTTTTTTTTTTTTGAGACAGTGCCTCACTCTGTCACCCAGGCTGGAGTGAATGAAGTTGCAGAATCTTGACTCATTGCATCTCCACCTCCTAGGTTCCAGTGGTCCTCCCACCTCAGCCTCCCAAGTAGCTGAGACTACAGGTATGTGTCACCATGACCAGGTAATTTTTGTATTTTTTGTATAGACAGGGTTTTGCCATGTTGCCCAAGCTGGACCAATCCACCCACCTTAGCCTTCCAAAGTGTGGGGATTACAGGCATGAGCCACTGCACCTGACCAAGGGTGTACAATCTTTAAGAAGTTCATTTTGTGTAGAAACTGCAATCCAACTTTTATTTTTCTTGTTCTATGTGTCCCATTTCCTCATTTGCTTTAGATTTTATTCTACTTTTGTGTTTCTGTAAATGTTGAAACAAGGTCCGATGTAAACTTAAAAGGCTATTAGAAAAATTTGAATCTATTCCTTACTTCTTTCATCACTTTTTTAAGATTACCAGGGCCGGGCGCGGTGGCTCATGCCTGTAATCCCAGCACTTTGGGAGGCCAAGGCGGGTGGATCATGAGGTCAAGAGATCGAGACCATCCTGGTCAACAGGGTGAAACCCTGTCTCTACTAAAAATACAAAAAATTAGCTGGGCATGGTGGCACGTGCCTGTAATCCCAGCTACTCAGGAGGCTGAGGCAGGAGAATTGCCTGAACCCAGGAGGCGGAAGTTGCGGTGAGCCGAGATCGCGCCATTGCACTCCAGCCTGGGTAACAAGAGCGAAACTCCGTCTCAAAAAAATAAAAATTTAAAAAAAAAAAAGATTGCCAAAAAGTCTCATAGTGGAAATAAATTAACAAACATTGTATGCAGACAAGAGCTAACACAGCAATTTTGAGGCTGCTATGTTTAGAAAGGCCTGCATACAAGGTTGGCCCTTGGCTGGAACTTGGATTCGGGGAGGATCATCACCATTCTAATCGATAAGTATAGCCAAACTATCTGTACAAACAATACGGTTCTACCTTCTGCATTTTTGCCTTCCTTCTATGAGCCTGAAATTTTGGTGCATGCTGTGTGGGTGCCTACATGATCAGCCCCTAAGAAAACCTTTGAGCATTGAGTCTATAATGAGCTTCTCTGATCAACAGCATTCCACATGTGCTGTCTCAACTCACTGCTTGAACAAATTCAGTGTGCCCTGTGACTCCACTAGGCAAGAACTCTAGGAGTTTGCACCTGGTTTCTTCTGGACTTCTCCCTAATCTCCTTTTGCCATAAATCCTCTGAGTCCTCCTAGTGTGAATCATTGAGGCTGGGCTTCTTGGAAACACTGAACACACAATGTTTTTTTTAATCTTTGCTGAAAACTATTATTAATAAGTGATGGCAGTGACATCACCATTTTATTGTTAAACTTTTATTATGTCCTTGTTTTTATTAAGTTTTATATTCAAGTTACATTCAATGTTTTCTATGTTGACTTTTCAGGAAAAAAATGTGAGGAAAATCTATCTAAGTAGTAGAATACTTCATCAATAGGCTTATTGTATATTCTCTCTATCCTGGCCCCATCGTGTATCCTCAGACAGGTGAATATGTCTAGCCTTAATTTCTTCACATGGAAAATTGGAATAATAGTATCCAACTCAAAAGGAGTTGTAAGGAATAAATGATATCATATATGAAATACTTAGGACAATGCTTGGCATATTGTGCTATATGTGTTCCATTACTACCACCTTATATTGAAGCTTCATATTTTTATTTTTTTGTGCCTTAAAATGAATTGAGTATTGATAACATTACGTCTATATAGTAGGTCTGTTAAATTTTCTGAAATATAAGACTCCTAAGGTTTAAAACTATTTAACTACAAATAATAAAAACTGAAAGTCTCAAAACGACAGCGCCGAAATCCTGGGAATAAATACAACTTTAACCTAAATGCTTCTTTCCATAAAAGAATGTAACAATGAAAACTGTCACTTGGTTACTCAAGTAGTCTGACAATGATTCAAGTACTTAGTCTCATCTCCCCAGAATTCCAAAGGAAGTGGAGATAGAATAAAAGCAGGAGTTATGGCAAGAGCAATTGTAGCACAGAGAGACGAAGATCACATAAGGGAACCATGGAGTCTTCAGTGTAAAAGTCATATGACTATTTTTTCCCTGCCTACAACTATTTTTATAATCAATTTATTAAAATCCATTTTACAAGACAATTATCCACTCCTTCCCCCTAAAAAATTCCTGTGTAATGACGGAATTATAAAGCGTGTGCTGTTAGATTAATTGACTCAGTAGTCTTCCCAGTTCTAATCTCTGGAATCACTCACCTAACAGTTCACCTAAATTTGTACTCTTAGAAAAAAGGAAGTGAGAATCCAGGTAGATAAGACATCATCAGCTAGGTATGGCACAGTGGTTTACACCTGTAATCCCAGCACTTTGGGAGGCAAGTGAGGCAGATCACTTGAGGTCAAGAGTTAAAGGCCAGCCTGGGCAGCAATAGCGAGACACTATCTCTACAAAAAATACAAAATTTGGCCAGGCATGGCGGTACACACCTGTGGTCTTAGCTACTTGAGGGTCTGAGGTGAGAGGATCAGTTGAGGCTGGTGGGCAGCGGTTGCAGTGAGCCAAGATCATGGCACTGAAGTCATCAACCAACCACACCTATACGATTCCTGTCTGATTCCAAGTGTGATCAAAGAAAAGCTTCTAAACAACCACGTGCAACCAGAAAATGAAATAAAGAGTTATATTAAGGTTTTCAAATTCTAGATTTTCATCAATATATAGCACAGGGGAATAGTGACATATGGCATATTTGAAATCATAGTAATAAACAATCCATTGCTACCTTTTATTGCTAGCAATGGACTTTTACCTAAAATTTGCAATGGACTAACCAAAATGCTGTAAAATTTTCGTAGCAATAAATAATCTATTGCTATCTTTTATTGTTAGCAATGGACTTTGACCTAAAACCTGCCAGAATTTCAGAGCCATTAAAGACAGCACTCTACGTGATTGGTTTCCTCTATGCAGATGGGAGAGATGTTTGTGTAGGTAATGGATCACAAGCAACATAATTTATTAGGAGAATATTGAAATCTAAGTCAGGAAGGGTGGCTGCAGATTATTAATATACATGGCAAGTTATGATCAGCATTCTCCTGAAAATAAGCTAAATCAAACCAATTTATTTTGCTCCTCCATTAACACACTCTGTTAGAAAATCTTATATCAGATGAAATATCTCTTTTCCATGTAAGGAGACATCAAATTTACAAAGTATTTTTATAGTTAATAAATTCAAAACTCACCATTGCAAAAACGCTGACAGTTGGTTTCTTTTCCTTCTTATCTTTTTCACTGCAAAACAACAAAGAAATTACATGAAACTTTAGAAATTACATACTTTTTAAATTACTCAAATTAATATAGAACGTACATTTAATGACAAATAGGATGAAGAAACATGCCTATATTATACAGGTAAAAAACAGGATAGTAATAGTATACCATTTATAATGTTTAAATATGTTTACATATATCTTAGAAATCTACATATGTGGTTTTCACTGAGTATTGAAATCTCTCTAAAAATATTTTCTTCCTTGTGCCTTTGAAATTTCCTGATTTGCTATGATGAATACATACATACACCCTTTGCAATCAGAAAAAAAAGACATACTGAAAAAAGAGTTTCCTGTTTTTATTCTAATTAGAAAATCATTCACACTTACCCTTAATTATGAATCCCCTTAATTGTCATTTGAGTAATGATGGCATTGATATTTTATCCGTCTACTGCCTAGATATTATTCTTAATCATTCCCTTTACTAGTGAATAGTAGTGACAATTAGATGCTGGGCATAACTAGCCTAAGAAGAAAATTAAATTACTCTTTATGAGCAAATCTAATTGTGAAAAAAAATGTCTGGAGCCCTAAATGAACCATTATGAAATAAACGCACTCTAGAAAACTATGGTCAAAAATGATGTTCTATAAATTGTCAAAAAGTTGTCCTCAGGCATAAGGTCAATTCTTATTTTGAACCCAGATACAAATGACTCTAACTCTGTAACCCATTTTCCACTCTGTGTAACTGCCACCTAGGATGTGAAAACAAACCAACTATAAAAAATCTGCCTCATCTATATTTTTGTATAAAAGTAGGAAGAATTGTGTTATTTTTTACAGGGTTTTTAAGTTCACAAGGTAAATTCATCTTTGTCTTTGTTCTTTACACTAAGTGAGGTCAAAAGAGGTGAAGAGACTTCTAAAGAAAAAAAATCCGGAGTTTACTCATTTGGCTTTGGATCTTGTTAGACAGACATAAAATACACAAACATAACTCTTCAGGTTTGGTCCCACCCAATTCCCAGTAAAGGCATGGTTTCAGTATCCCTGGAACCAGGATGAAAAGAGAAAAACAGCCATAAATAGTTGAGTTTTAGCTCTAAGCTTTTTATTTATTTTTTTTGTTCTCTAAGACTGCTGCTACTCTGGAGAAGTTATAATGTTCCAGGCACTAGCTAAATAAGCACTTCCCACACAGGATTCATAAACAATTCTATAAGAAAGACACATTTTTTTCCTTTTAGAGATGTAGAAGAGTGAGAAGAGTTAACTTGTTCAAGGTCCCACAGCTATAACAAAGCCTATATTTAAATGCCAAATCCGTTCCCTGACCACCAAGCTATAAGGTACAAACGTCAGGTTTCTGAGATACTACATCACATTAAAATGCACTTTCACACAAACTCTCACCCCTACTAGATTACTTACTTATCCCCATTAGCACAAAACGCAGTGCTTAGAAAGACAAGTCATTCATCAAACATCATTTTAATAAAGAATCTTTGCAAATAGACATATTCCAAATAGCACTATTATCCCAGCATTATCCATTACCAAAGCGATATACTTCTTTACAATCCATGTTAAAACAGATTTAAATCAATGGCAATAAGCACAATTTAATAAGAACTACTTACATAAAATATAATCTCTAATTTGAAAAAGAAAAGTCTACAGGTCATGATCGAACCAATAATAGAAATATGTGAAAGATCAAACAATTTTCTTTACTGTTTCCCTTCACATACCCTCAATATTTCTTAAATCTACCTAAATGTTTGTATCATAAGTACATAATTCTTTAAGCTATCAAGTTTTCAAAATTACAAGTTGAAAAACAAAAAGCGGAATACCTACCCTCCACTCTATGGAGCCTTTTTCATTGTTTATATGAACTTTTTTTAACAAAAATTTTCTATTTCAATCCAATGTTCTCCTAACATTATCACACCTAAGAAAAGTGGTTGCAATTTTGATATTGGCTAATATCCAATCCACATTAAAATGCCCTAAGAATGTTATCCATAAGTTTTTTCCTTGTTCAACATTTAGGTTGTTTTGTTTTGTTTTGTAATGTTCACACACTACATTTGGTAGTTATATATCTTTAGTCTCTCTTAATCTGGAAGTCCTCCTTTTATATTTTTTAACATTGACTTTTGTAAAGGGACATAAACGGCTGTCTTACAGAATGTCCCACATCTTGGGCCAAATTGAATACAAATTGGGAAGTGCAATAAATACCTGTATCAAATTGAATACAAATTGGAAAGTGCAATAAATGTGAAATACACATCAAACAGGAAGATTTAGCATAAAAGAGAACATAAACTATCTTATTAATCATCTTGATGACATATAGAAAATCCAATCTTTTGGATATATTGAATTCTACAAAATATATTTTCAAAATTAGTTTTATATTTTTATTTTTATTTTTTAATGTTGCTGCTAGAAAATTTTAAATTACAAAATGTGGCTCACATGACATATCTATTGGACCGCCCCAGTCTACAAGTTTAATTGGATTCAAACTAAATGTTTTTGTAGATATATTAACATTTGCTAAGTGATGTTGTTTACTCAAAATGCAAGTGATGAGTCATTTACTACAATCTATTCTACTGTGAGTGATACCAGATCTGAGCACTTGGTTAAGGTGATAACTGCAAAATCTTTAATTGGAAAAGCACATTCTCCTTCCAATTAGTAAACATTTTGAAGAAAATTCTTAGATACAACTTTTTTTCTGAATGGTTTAGGGTTCGTTGACAATCCTTGCCGTAATCTATTATAATAATGCACATTGCAAAGTAATAGCTGGAATTTTTCTGTAAAGATAATTCCTTTATTTTCTCTACTTCTCACACTTTCTTTCAGCTTCCCTCCTCTCAGAGTAGTAGGGATTCAACAGCTGCATTCAGCATCTAAAAATCTATTACAGTTAGGATTTTCTTTGATGCTCAAATTTTCCCAGAGTTGGCCAGTGGAAGCTCCTTCCAGCCAGCTCCAGTGTGCTTTTGACTACTCCATTAAACTCCACTTTCTTATTTTCAGGTACCACAAGATACTCCAGGCTCACTTTGTATTTTTCCTGCCCCTGCCCCAGACCTGGCTGAAATTAATTATTGAGGTGTTATTTCTTTTAGGGAGGAATGGTATTAAGAAATCAAGATCTGATACTAACAGTGCTCATTGTTACTGTGCCTTAAAATGAACTACTAAAAAATTATGAATTCACATTGAAATTTCCAATTCAAATTGAACATTATTTTTTAAAAATGCATTTAATTTCCACATTTGTATTTTTTATCTTACACTGAAAAGTTTGGTTTCTTATAATATTAACATGTTTACTAACTTATAATTTACATTTCAGTTTCTAATAATATTAATGTATTTACTAATTTATCTTACAATTTACTACTAACAATGAATCTATTGAGTGGAGTTTTAAATTTCTTGTAAAGCCAGAGCACCATGATCAAAATTAACTTTAAATAATTATTTTCTGTATGTGTCGTTACATTACCAATATTATATAAAGACATTTATTGCCAGTTAAAACAACACACACACAAAAAAAACAAAATGCACTTTTGACCTTCCATCACCCAGGCCACAAACACGCGATGTTTACGTAGCCATTTACCACAATCGAGAGCCTGGACCACAGAGCAGATCACCAGCGGCATATGGCTCAGGTATGGGCAACGAATACCACTTGAAAAGCATAAGTTCAAGACAGAAATGAGCCTTCGCCTGTCTGGGGCAGGAAAGCTGAGGAAGAGGCACACCAAGACTAAGGGAGAGAGTCCAGGAACGGTAAAAGGGTGGAATGAAGAGAGGCTGGTGAATGGCTAAGAACGGTTGAATAGGACAAATAAGTTCCAATGTTCGACAGCAGACTAGGGTGACAACAGTTAGCAACATATTGTATATTTCAGAGTAGCTAGAATAGAGGACTTAAAATGTTATCAACACAGAAATGAAATATACCCAAGATGATGGATACTCCAAATATCTGGACTTGATCATTACACATTCTGTGCATGTTAAAAAAAAACACTCTCATATACCCTATTTCATAAATATGTAAAATATTATGTATCATTAAAAGAAAAAACAAAAAAGACTGACGGAGAATGCATATGCTGTGCTCCACGCAGCCGACAACCTTCTGCTCTAAGCAGGGACATTGATTCCAAAGGCTGGTTTGCGTTTCTTAAAATAAATATAATTAAAAACAACAACAATATGTCATTTATCTCAGAGCTGGAAGCTATAAATAAACTACCCAAATCTTGGAATTTTGTAAACTATGAAAATGAAACAAACTAGCTACCTTTTATTGTTCAGTTTTAAAAAGTTCTTCCCTGCTCCTCCATTGCGGTCCCCTTCGAGATCCATCTCGACCTGAAGAGAAACCGCAGCTCGTTAGCCAAATGCATGACCCGCAGGAGCCCGAGGTGAGACTCACCTCCGGTCCCCTGCCTAACCCAGAGCGCAGCAAGGGGGAGCGCTCGCCGGGACGCTCCAGCTGCTCTGGCCGCGCTGGGCACTGCAGGGGCTTTCCTGGGCGCGGGGTCTCCAACCTCTCCACGCAGGCAGAGTTCGGGGCCTGGCAGCGCGCTCTGGACTCTGCCCGCAGCGAGCGCGCTTCTCCCTCCGGGTTCCCGTCGCCGCGGACGACGCTCCCTCCCACCCGCCGCCCGCGGGCTCGGACACCAGGTTCCCGCACCGCGCGGGCTCTGCGCGCTCCGGCCAGCCTGGTCCAGTGCCGCGACGGTCTGGGCGCTGCTCCGGGAGCTCCCGAGTCTACATGGCACCCCACTTGGTCCCCAGGGACTTGGAACAGGACTCCTCCACACCATCTACGCCTCGAGAAGCCCCTCTCCCGCGAGGACCACGTACAGGGAATCTGAGAGCCTGACCCTTCTTGGGAACTGTCCCATAGGAGTTCCCAACTTCGCGTGCGCCTACCTCGGGCTCCTTAGAACGGCCACTAAGACGTGAAATTCTGGAAGAGGAGACTCCGGCTTCGTGGAAAGACCTGGTGGAAACAAACAGCGGCCTCTCTTTCTGGGAGCTTGCTCTGAGGAGCCGCTGCCTGGAGGGGCGGCTGCTCGAATGAGCGCCGGCTTCCTGTGGAAAAGAAGGGTAGGCGTCGGTGCTCGGCCCAGCCCTGGCGCTGTCCTGTGAGCCAATCAAACCTCACCGCGAATGAATGCTCCCGGCCCGGCTCGACCGAGTGTTGATTCCTTGAGAGATTGAGAAACAGATTGAATCTCAGGGAGGAATGTTACCGCTTCCGTTGCGCCTCTCTGGAAAGGGCAAGTAGAGAAATGTGCATCAGCTGAATCATCGGGGACGTTTCAACTTATAGAGATATGTCTCTCAGAGTTCGCAGAAGTCTTCATCTCCGTATAAGGATACAGGATATCGTTAAGGGAAATTTTCTCTGGATTTGCATTTAATACAGTTAATACAAAATCTCCGACCTCTCCAATTCTGTAGCACCTTTCTGCGCACACCTGTGAAAAGGCCAGGAGAAATTTTTCTGCAGTGGACTTTCTTCAGCATGTTTGACGGTTTCTGAGTTATATCTGCTCATCCTTTATTTGATGATAAATGGAAAGAAAGAAAAAGGAAGTTTTTAAAAAGATAGAGACACAGGTATTTCAAGATAGAAATGGTATTTCAAAGGGTGTAATATTTTAAAACTTTAGAGGTCAGGTCAAGGCCCGTGTTTTTCCAGGGCATTTCAGAATTCTTACATTTTAATTAAAATTATTAAAATAAACATAGCATGTTTTAGCATGTTACATTAGCTTTAATTTCTTTCCATATTTACTGCCAACATTTAATATTTTTTGCTGTCCACTATTTTTTTCAAACTGAGGAAAAGTATGTGCAGTCTTCCCAATTCAAATTTGTAAAGTACTGCTAACTCACATCAGAGCTTTTCTTTACTTCTTATGAACATAGAGGAAATAGCTGTGTTGTAACCTCTAGTCTACATTCCATGACTTACACATATTACCTATCAGCTTACTGCATAAGTTTAGAAGAAGAAAATCACTCTGTTTTTTACTGCATAGTCTGAAGCTGTTTCCCCTTTCTTTAACTCATACTTCAAAGCCATAATTTTTTCCTATTCTTTACACGTTTTTCTTACCTTGATTTATTTAGTGCTTGGCCATATAATGAAGGGTTTTTTGTTTTTTGCTTTTTTACAAATTGTTAATTAGGCTCTCTAACAGGCCTCTATTTTTTCCACGTGTTCTAATTGGATATGCATGAGTATAGCATTGTTCACTGTTTGAAGGCTTAACAACAGCCCTGTGGTCCATCTGGGGTAAATATACAAGCTTTCATCTTCATCACTTGCGTTTTTAATCTTATTTATGCCTCTCATCTCTGTTTCCACTTTTGTTTTGCTTTATTCCTTTATCTCACCTTTTGTTTACATAATATTGTTGAATTTTATGTAGCCTTTTGAATGGCCTTTAACCCTCCCTAAACGGTGCAGGATATAAATAAAGTGCTATATTGTTATACTGATTGTACTATTTCTATAGTCTTGAGCTTCAGGTAAAGATCTCTATCAAGGATATAAGTAAGTTAAAGATCAGAATAACACAGAGATTTTAAAAATAAGGTTCTCCCATTCTGTTATACTGTATTAAATTTCTTTGCTCCACTGACATGAAAGTATGAATATAAAACATGATGGACCTAAAACAAACTAGCTCTTGCTACTTTCAACTGCCCTTGGCTTATTTAAAGACACCAGTGTTGTATTTGTGCTACCACCACTCCTGTCAAGCTGGGCTGGGCTGTTCTTAAGCCTCCTTAATTTCTGGTGAAACCTGCCCAGTTCCTTTGCAAGTTGGCACTCACATATCTTCATTTAAGCAGTGCTTTTTCCATTTGAAGTGATTGCCACAATCTGCACCTTCTTGTCATCCACCCTCATGTAGCCTTTTCACCAACTTGTCTATAGCCTCCCAACACTAAAGATTTGTCTCTCTGCTGCCTTTTGTTCTTTTTTATCTGTGGGAGTAATAATATATAATGGTATTAATAACAAATAACATTTATTAACTACTGGTCATGTATCAGGAACTGCCAAGCACTTCAAAGAGATTATGCCATTTAATCTTTACAAGAAGCCTATCAAGTAGTTACTATTGTTGTTATTCCCATATTACAATAAAAGACACTAAGGTTTGCATTATTTGTCCAGTCACACAGCAGGTAAGCTGCTAACCAGTAGTCCCTCTCTCATAACTATACTTTTAACCACTACTCTACACTATGGTACATTATCATAGGACATTCTACTACACTGCCTTTTTCAGCCCCATGAAGTGTTTTCTTCTTATGATTCCACCTTGGAAAACTTGCAATGGCTCCCTGCCGCAGACTATATAATATCTAAGAGTTTCTTCTTCTTCTTCTTCTTTTCTTTTGAGACAGAGTCTCGCTCTGTCTCCAGGCATCAGGCTAGAGTGCAGTGGTGCGCAATCTTGGCTCACTGCAACCTCCACCTCCCGGGTTCAAGCAATTCTGCCTCAGCCTCCTGAGTAGCTGGGACTACAGATGCATGCCACCACGCCCAGCTAATTTTTGTATTTTAGTAGCAACGGGGTTTCACCATGTTGGCCAGATGATCTCGATCTCTTGACCTTGTGATCTGACCGCCTCGGCCTCCCAAAGTACTGGGATTACAGGCGTGAGCCGCTGTGCTCAGCCCTGAGTTTCCTCTTAAAAGAACCACAACATAGCACTTCTCTCTAATCATCTTCCTCCCCATCGACATGTACATGTTCACTCCATTTCAGCCAAACTCACTGGGCTTCTCAGATGATATGCTCTTTTCATTCTGTGCCTTTCCACATTTTTAAATTGTTAAACTAAATTAATTTACAAAAGTTTTCTTCTTTAGTACTTGGCTCCATTAAACAATTTGGGCTTCAAAGGCAGAAAAACTTAGATAAGGACGTCTCTGCTGATTATTATGTGTAGGTTTGAACGAGTTACTTAACTCAGCTATCCCACAGAGGTACTATCTACTCTTCAACCTTTAGTAAAGAGTAGATAGTACCTTCTAATGTTATGGCAAGATTAAGTGATTTGTATATTTAAAAGGTTTGTGCAGTGCCCGGAACACCCTAAACACTCAACATTGCTATGTATTAGTAACAATCCCCTCTTCTCAATCTCTTTTTGCCCTTCCTTAGCATTCCCTGGCACTCATGTATGTAGTCACATCTATTTATCCACGTATGTTTGACCAATTATTCTCATATCCCAGCTATGTCCTTTATTATGAGTATTAACAACAAATTTATAGAAATTAAAAAGCTGTTTACCTATTTTTCCTTCTCCTATGGTTTTTAATTCTTCTGGATGTTCTTCTTGTGACCCTCTATAGTAAATCTTGTGTGTCTTTCTGTCTTTCTCTGATCTGGTTAATAATTTATTTTCTCTATTTTTTCTGTCTCCTCTATTTAGCCAATCTGTGTCCAAATTGAAGGTTCAACACATTTAAAGAAGGAATGCAAGTCACCTCAATGAGCTTAATTGACCTGAGGCAGAGAAAGAATACAAGTTCCAATCATCTCAGTGAACTGAATTGACCTGAGACAGAGAAAGAATACAAGTTTCCACCCAGTTCAAAGAGCAAGATATATGACTCAGTTGTAGTAACAATAAGGGATCCACGCATTCTCCACCCTTTCATATGTAATGATTTTTATCTATGAAGGACATGTGACTGACCTAATGATAGGGGATATTAAATGACTGTACTTGAACTCACGTTGGATTACATCAGATTGCTTCTATGGATACCTGTATTGAAAGAAAAAAATCTAGATACTGAAGGTCAATGTGATCATTTTCAAAGAGTTGTTTGTCTTGCCATCATTTAGGCAATATTGCAAGAGATACGACTGGTGTGAAATGGTGATCGGATGATGATAAATTAATTTAATTTTAATTAAGTCACTTAGTGACTTAGTCATGTGATAAGTCAATGGCAAATAGAAACCTGAATTTTACTCCTCTTTGAACCCTTCCCTATCTACTCTAGCCAGAAATATTTTCTACCACTCTGCAATCCTACTTTTCAGTATCTGTACCTCTCATTTTGTATTTATTATTAATGTTTCATATGATTATGAATTTTTAAAAATATTCTAAATGGACAGAGACTTACACAAAACAAAGTTTCTATTAATGTTTGTGGAAAATATTAAGTGCTGAGAGTATGACATCAGAGACAGATTTATGGAAATTATACTAGTAAGCTAAATGCCTGAGTTATCATTGGTGTGACTGGAAGGATCCATTGCCATGAACTATCTTATCAACTTCTTTTTTTTGAGACAGAGTCTTACTTTGTCACCTAGGCTGGAGTGCACTGGCATGATCTCAGCTCACTGCAACCTCTGCCTCCTGAGTTCCAGTGATTCTCTTGCCTCAGCCTCCTGAGTGGCTGGGATTACAGGTTTGCACCAGCACACCAGGCTAATTTTTATAATTTTAGTAGAGATGGGGTTTTACCACATTGGCTAGGCTGATCTTGAACTTCTAGCCTCAAGTGATCTGCCCACCTCAGCCTCCCAAAGTGCTGGGATTATAGGCATCAGCCACCACACCCGGCCTCCTCTATCAACTTCTAATATAATCTTTAAACTCCATTAGAGAATCATCTCTCTGAGTAAGTCACTGCCCCCTATTGAAATAAATATACCATAATAGCACAAGAAAAGTTTTTAAATGAATGACAAAGTTAAGAGGAGAGAAGACAATTGAGTATTCAAGGGAAAGAAGAAAATTAAGTGGCAATTCTTGGAATTCTAACTTTGTGAGATACCAGCTGTGTGGCTGTGAACAAATACTCCACGTCTCAAGAATCTTGATTTCTGTGTCATTCAAATAAAGACAAAAACAGCTTCCACCTAAGGTTTTTGTAAGAAGAAAATAAGGTAAGATTTGATGTGTGTTTGGTATAAATAGTACTACTTCCCAGATACCCTAATAAAGATGATAAATGGAACCAAGATATGAATAAACATTAAGAACGTGAGAGTAAAAGTGATTACTGGAAAGGGCTAGTAATGGACATTGAAAGTAAATAATAATATGGAAATAATTTTAAGTATTACTTTTAAAGTAATCTACAAAAACAAAATTATGAAGAAAATTGAATAAATTCACATTTAAAGCCAGCAGCAAACCATATATTTATTTATCACAAATATCACAACAGATTAATATTTTTAATATATAAAGAGCTCATATTAATGGATAA